GGGGGGGGGGAGGGCGAGAGGGGGGGGTAGCGATACGACGGATATTAGGAGAAACGGAAAATAAGAAAATGGAATAATCCAACATATTTCACTCACCCATCCCATGTGTCATCTTTGCTGTCTCTTTTTTCTTTGTTGATGCTCCAGGAACACTGCCGAAATAGACATGAGAGTGTGAGCGCCGTACACACGTGCAATACTGGCTTGGTTTGTGTGTGGTTTGAACGGCGCACACCCGACGACCAATAACGTTTCCATCTGAACGGTTGACGCTCGGCGTACCACTCGAAGAATGGGCAGAGCCCGTGCCGCCTTCGCAGCGGTACTACGGCCGCTGGCCACAAGGACACGCGCCCGAAAACGAAGTGAACGAACAAGCTTCGTTTGCAAGGCCCCAGCGTTTCCCCGGCCCTACGGCAGCAGCACAACCCACTTTGGCAAGCAAGTGCCCTGCGCCCCCATATCCGTCTACGGTCCAACGCCTGCGGCATCCGCTTACATAAAAACACCCTAACGACTAGGGCATGCACGAGTACAACACCCCCAGCCCCCCTCAGTCCCGAGGAGCACGCGCCGTCGAAGCAACTGACGCGAGCAACAAACGCCATCCTTCCCTCCCTCCCTCCCATTGCAGGTGGCATCTGGAGAACCCACCACCGACATACGAGAGCCTGGTCTTTGGCGCTGTCACGAGTATTGCGCTAGCCGTCCACCGGTGCCGTTGTCGGTGTCGGTCCTGGTGTCGCTGTCGGTGCCGCCGGTGCCGCCGCAACGAGCGTCATGGCCAGTACGAAGCCCGGCATAGTGCCTCCTCCAGGCGACGGTCATCACAGCGGATGGGCGAGGACCGCTGCAGCTGCTCCTCCGCACGGGCAGGGCTACGGTTATTGTCCTGCTCCACGCCGGGGGGGGGGCGCTACTGCTTCTGCCTCCGTCGTGGACGGGGGGGAGAGGGAAGGTTACTACATTGGCAGGATCTCTAGCGGTTTCGGCACGTGAGTCTTGAAGTGATGCTTGCGTGATATGCCCTTTTATTGATCGTTTTGTTCTAGGGCCAGCAGGAAGGGGATATGTTTTGGCGGCATGGGTATGCGGTGCTACGGAGTGGCGACGGTATTAAGATACGAATAAAGGGCTCAACGTGTGATCAGTGATTCCGAACGAGCCGGCTTGCTGTTTTTTTTTTTTTCTCCCATCATTGGACTCTGTCGTCTGCCCCTCTGGCCCTATCCTCCACTTCTATTCGCTAGACGACCCAACCGGGGCACATAGGAGGGGGGGGCTGGACCTCCTCCTGCCGTTCCTGCCTGAGGTATTTTTATCGCGAGAAGGGTACAGCAACCCCTTCCCTCGCGACTTACGAAGTCGATTATGTTTAACTAACAACGAGCTTTGCAGCGCGTCGCTATAATCCTAGACCAGGATATATTTAGTGAGTAAAAAACTCACTCTGCCGGGACTCGAACCCATGACCTGGCCCTTGGCAGGCTGCGAGGTTACCCACTAGTGTGTGTGTGTTTGACCAAACCTTGCACACTACGCGGGAAAGAAAGCTAAACAGAGAGGGAGAGAAAGCACCGACCCTCTTGTGCTTCCGCGCCTTGTTGATACGCGGTGGGCGTGCTACTGGTACGTCGTTATTGTTGGCGCTTGCGCACTCTGGTGCCCGCCCGCTCGCTCGCTCGTTTTGTTTTGTTTCAGGAGGGTCGGCGGCGGTCGGCGAGGGGGCACCGCAGTTGGGTGCCTGTTCGCTCTGGGGGTGCTGGCCTGGGTGTGGGTGATGGGGTCGTTCCGCGCACTATTCTCGGCGGGGACCCCGTCGTCATCAGCTGCAGCGCCGACGCGGGAGCCCTTGAGCCCCGCGTCCCCGGCACCAGGGAGGACGACGAGCGGCCTGCCGGCCGTCCATGCCCCTGGTCTGGACACGCCTGCTGCTGCCAACGGTGGTGGTGATCGAGCTGCTCTATCCCTCGCGACTAGAAAGGGTGCTGACGCTAACAGCATCCCTGCGGGGGACGGGCCAGACTACCTCCACAAGCCTCGCCTAGAGATAGAATCAGAGGCGGCGGATGTTGCGGGACCCTACGACCAGTTCCCGGGGCCGCAGGCCGACGGCCGAGAGAAGGGGGTTCGCGATGGCGGCGGAGGGGGGGGGGAGGGGGAATTATTGTCGTCGGAGGAGCTGGCCGACGAGACCCTGGCGGACGGGAAGGCGAGGTGTTGGACCGACGAGGCCGGGAACGGCCGTTGCCTTCCCACCGTATTCTTCTTCGGGGTGTCCAAATGCGGTGAGTTTTTTCGGGCAGCAACGGGAAGACGAGGAAACGGCCGAAATATTTACGTCTTCGTGGGGCTTCCACTATGGATATGTATCACCTCCCCGAACCCGAGACTCTTCGTGTTCCCATGGGCTACGGTGAAGCTCTGGCTCTTGCGCTTCTCGCTCTCTATGGTGCTCGTTTCGGAGTGGCACTTACTTGTATTGCGTTGCATCTCCGTGCTGTTGTCAGTCCGTGACGCCGCGTTTTTCCTTCCAAGTGTACAGTTGGAATTGTACTCTGCTTTTAGGGGCAGAGGGTGGAACACGTTTTTTTTTTTGCTGAGTACCCCCATCTTTTTTTTTTGGGGCGTGTGGTGTTGGCTGCCGGATTAAGTCTTGGGTAAAAAAGTCGGTTTTGGGGTGTGGACGAGCGTCACCAGCGCGAGGTCAACGGCAACGTTAACATCATTGATTTCGGGCATCCATCTACTCAAAGATCGACTACATTCTTTGTTGCTGCGACCCAATGGATGCGATGCGTGGACCGCTCCGTCTGTCAATGCCTCAACCTCAGGTTTATTTTATTCAGTGGTGCGTGTCTGTGCCTGGTCCTTATCTATTTCTCATCTGTGAGAGTCATTAGATTGGCGATAAAGGCCCGCAGCATGATTCCTAGCTACTGCTGTCCTAGCAAACCATCCTCGGGGAGATGTCGGAAGCCACTTGCACCTTGGGTGAGTTGCGACGGGCAAGAAACAAGCGTTCCCACCACCCGTTTATGGTTGATCGCGTCGCGACAGGCACAACGTCCCTGTCGAACTGGCTGTCCTCGCACCCTCGAGCGGTCTTCGTCCCTCCTCCTGAGGCGCACGACTATCGAGAGGCCCACGTCTTCGACAACACGCCCAGGTACTGGCACGGCGTGAGCGATCGGGGCAAACGGGAGAGCCTTTCTCCCGTGGCTTCTTCGAGGGACACCGTCATCGACTGTAAGAGGGGCCCTATTGGCTGCTGTTGTTGTTGGTGTTGCTGCTGCTACGGTACTTGCTGTTGTTGATGGTGTTGATTTGTGTTGTTGTTCGGGTTGTTAATTGGTGTTGTTCACCTGTTGCAGAAAAATTGTTGTCGTTGTTGTTGTGGTCGTTTTTGCTGTTGGTTCGGTCGCCGCTGCTGCTCTCGTCACCATTACCACTCGAACCCTGTTTCACTTCTAGTGAAGAGAATGCAGGTGCCGCTGCTAGTACCACTTGTATTTTACTTACCTTTTTGCACCCTTTGAAGGGGCAAGTTTCTCGAAGGCACGCCGATGCACTTTTTGACCACCAGTTTGGCGTAATCAGCCAATCACCCTGGATATGTGCACAGCGGTAGATGACACCCATCCCTGCTGCAGTCTCGATTGACCCTCTCGACATGGCCGACGTCACAAGAAGCCATTGGTCATGCCCTCCTTAACCATTAGAGACATCAACGACATAACATGTCGTTTTTCCTGACGGCTGACGACAATTGATGCGTGACACCAACAACCGTTGAACAACCCCAATCGTCTTCACGAGCAATCCTTCAGATTTACCCGCACGCGCGCGATGCTTATTCTTAATCTTTTTCTATCCATTAATCTAGTTACTTGTTTTGTTTGCCCTTTTGCGCTGCGCAGTCACGCCGAACTACGCCATCGTCGGAGAGGCCCCCCTTCGGATCTACGACTACTACCACCAAGCCGGTGGAGGGCGTCTACGGAGTAACCTTCGGTTCTTGGTCGTGCTGAGAGAGCCAGTCGCAAGGACTATCAGCTCCTGGCAGTACAAGAGCGAACGTGAGCATCGTTGCCGGTTTTTGTTCTTGTTCTTGTTCTTGTTTTCGGTTGGAGGCAATGACCTTGAAACGGAAAGTTTTTCTTTCACGTGTTTTTCGATATGGAATGAATGGTGAGGCGCGGGGCTTGTGTTCTAGGTCCGCTCGCCCTACTGTGTGTCCCCACTCCGCACTGCATCTATTTAGACTAGATGGATGCGCTGCTCTCTCTCTCTCTCTCTCTCTCTCTCTCCCCTCCCACGCTGCCCGAACCCGTGGCTTTAGGTATTGTTCTTGCAGCAATGCAGCGAATTCATCGCGCGACATGACCTCCCTGTGGTCACCCGTGCAGCCTACGGCATTTGCTCCCTGTGTGCGATAGGCACAAGACACGAAATAGGTTATACACTTCCAAGCGGCCGATCTCGACCGATATGTCGATTCCCAAAATGCAGTTCTCGTTTGTCTGACCGCACGGCCGTTTCGCGTCTCTCCTGAACCGGCAGCGCTTGGACCGCACGGCAATGGCACAGGCAACAGCTCCTACTCCAGCGGGGGGGGCGCCGTCTCCGAGTGGCCGAAGAGAACCGGTGGTGTTGACATAGCTGCCGACACCGTGGACGAGGAAGAAGAGGGGGGGAAGGAGGGCGAGGAGGAGGAGGAGGAGGAGGAGCAGGAAGGGGGTCAGCAGCAGCAGCAGCAGCAGCAGCAGCAGCAGCGTTTTGCGGAGGGGAGGCGGCGGAATCTGCGACGGAGGCGACGAGGAGGTGCAGGAGCGAAGGTGGGACGGAGGCAAAGGGACGGAGCAGTACGCGAGTATTTTGTTCTTACGGAGGGAGTAGGTGTTTTTTCGGGATGAAGGCCTGCTGGCGTCACCGATACCTTAAGCAGTTATGTAGGCTACCGGTCGCCCCGGTGGTCTAGTGGTATCCTTGTAATCCGCTAGTCGCAGAGGTCGTGAATCCCCATG